ATTCTCCAAACTTTCCTATTAAATATTTTTATGCATGTTACTAATGTTCTTTACGTCTGACTCTCTGAGCCTTTGTCCCTGTATTTGTCAATACTCTCTCATATCTTTATAATTCCATTTTTATTAGTTATTCGCCCTAACTATAAACAAACTTGACTTTTTCTCCTATGAGAAATTTCTTCCAATGGGATATATATTCAAGCTGTAATTTGAGCTTTCATCTTTTCTGCAATATATTCTTTGCAGGAGAATTTTCTAACTCATTCTACCCTTTCTGTTTTAATATTAATGTTTTAGTTACTGTCACTATAGTTACCATTCTTTTCTCCCTTGTATGACAATTTTTAAAACATATACTATGTATCCAAAGAGTAATTTCTGAGACTTTCATCAGAGCACTTGGATTGATTAGTGTAGCTGATTTTCTAGAAAAAATACTATTTCTGCCATTTTCTGTCTTTCTTTTATTAAATCTTTTTATCTTTCATTATATGGCTTCCTTCCCAGCTTGATTCTATAAACATTACTTGTTGTCTCTTTTCCATAAAGTTGAAATTAATCTAAAATTCCTGCTAAGATAGACATGGCATACTTTAGAACATTTGATATCAGATGTTTAATTTTAATCATTCTACTGAATGGTTCTTTCAAGTATTTATTCATATTTTACTATTGTGTTTTGTGTTTTTTTAATTGATATATAGGAGATCTAGATTATCTAAATGACCACCTTTTTTTCTATGTATGTCTTTCTTGCCTGACTTATTCAATGCAATCCTGTATTTTTCTAAAAAAATCTCTGACATGTGGTTTCTGAGTTATTTTTAAATACCTCAGAAAAGAACTTTTTTTAATTATTATGTTGCACAAATCCATTTCTAATGCCTTTTTCATTGACTTTTAGTATGGTGTTTTATTATGATTAATTCTTCTTAACTGAGGGTGGGTTCTCTCTCTCTTTCTTTCTCTCTCTCTTTCTCTCTCTCTATCTCTCTCTCTCTCTCTCTCTCTCTCTCTCTCTCCTGAATCTTCACAAATCAACATTGTCTGCATCACTTACTAGGGCATTTAGATGTGCACCTTTAGATGTTTGCCCTCCTCTGGCTTTTATCAAGTATTTTGCAGCATTCAGTATTGTGTTCATGAAGTCAAACACAATTTTAGACCTTAAGAAAAATACAGTTTAAGAGAAATAATCCATACAGTGGAGGAAATTGCCCTTTAAGATGATAATCAATTTCAAAAGTTTAGTTCTTCCTAAAAAAATCTGAAATTTGAAGTGAGAAAACTCATATTCCTTTAAATATTTCTCTGATTGCACTATAAAACTCATAGTACAAAGAAATGACTAGATTTCTCTATGTGTGTTATGAATTCTAGTATTTACTGAGTGTTTCACAAGTGCACAAAAATTTTATGTAATAAAAACAGGATACAAAGTAGGATTAATGTAGATGAGATTCCCTCAAAAACAATCCCAACCATGATCTCATCAATTTAACTTTCTACTTCCATGGGGTTTGCAAAGACAGAAATTTAATTTTTCCTGAAGACAAATGTATTAATATCTAATAAAAACAAATTTATATTATGATATCTATAAAATATGTAATATGTAAAAAAAACTTTCTTATTTTAACAAGACAAGTGAATTAAATAGCATTGACTGTGACATAATATAAGAGGTGAATAAAATAAACATTTCAGCTAGAAAAACTATTTGGTTATTAACCTAAAATATTAAATGGACTAATATGTTGAGGAGAGGTCACAGACTTTATTTTTAATATATTATCCTTTCACATATTAGGGTATAAAAGTGTGCATTACCAATGATTTGGAAAAGTAGCAGCTATTTTGATATGAGATACCTTAAAATAAATAAAGGAACATATGGAAGAAATTTAATTTATCTTTTATCTCTATCCCACTACATTCTGATACCCCTAATATTTTGCATGAATTCTGAATGGGATTAGATTATTGACTCCTTAACTCATAATTTGGGTTCTGACATATAACTAAAAAATGTGAACACTACACGTCACAGTGAGTAGCCTAGGAGGTACAATTGAGGTAATGAAACTACTTATGTCTCAATATCTATAAAGATTAACAATTCAACAAACTATGAGTCTTAAATAATTGGTATCCATTTTTTATTCAATATTGAGGGATAGAGGGGGTATGGTGTCTCCAGCAGGTCAATCTGTACCTGTGAGACGAGTGCATCAGCAGCCTGATGGTGCCTTCAGACTTCTAAATACCCCAAAATTGTTGCTTTGCCTTTGGCCAGACACCAACAACTTGGGGCCAAGTTTACTAAGTAAGTAAATGGCCAAAAGTTAGATACGTGGGAGACACACCCACACACCACCTCCGGCTCAGCTATATCATTGGAGGCAAGGCCTCTCTAGTTCCTGATCAAACTACTTAATGCCATGATCCCAAAGACTCAGAAACAAATCTCAGAACCCAGTGGCTTTTGGCAGAAATCCCTCCAAATTTAATTGTTAAAATTTCAGAATTCCAAAACCGTGCGGCCACTATTGTGACCGCATGACATCATATGTTATTCATAATCAGCAATAGAAAACAAATAGTCTATGGTTACCTTTTTGGCAGATCTGAGTGTTGGGGTAAAATTCCAAATAATAATGGTGGGTTTGGTGTCAAAATATTGAATGCAATCAAATTAGAGACAGAGTAATGTGGAAATCATCTGCCCCACAGGTAGGTGGAAGATGTGGGGTGAGGGGTATATTGGGGTTTTGGTGGTGGAAAATTTGCACTGGTGAAAGGACAGGTGTTTCATCATTGTAAGACCGAGACTTAAACCCAAAAGCTTTGTAACTGCTATCATGGTGATTCAGTAAATAAATTTATAAAAACTAAAAATAAAAAGTAAGGTGGAGTTCATGCCCAATTCAATCAGCTTAATCAATGGCTGAATAAATAGCAATACTTCTATATTAAAAAAAAATACTGAGGGATAGAGAGAGAAGTATTCATAAGTATGAAAGTATACAGAGTATTGTCCTGAAGACATCTTTTGAGTCTTACATATAACTATTTGTGTTTCCTTCCTTTTTCTAAGTACATTTTAATCTAAATTTCCAACTCTTAACCAACTGTCACGCTAATTATGGGCTTTTACACTTTTAACTTATTGCTTCTTAAAATTAACTCCATTAAAATGTATAGTTATATCCATAGAAATAAATAGTCAATCATATATAATAAAATTAACACTATAATAGCACTGTAGCACTGTCCTCCCATTGTTCATTGATTTGCTCAAGCAGGCTCAGTAACGTCTCCATTATGAGATTTGTTGTTACTGTGTTTGTCATATTGAATACATCACAGGTGCCTTGCCAGGTTTTGCTGAGCAGGTGAGATACTCTCGGTAGCTTGCTGTGCTCTCCTAGAGGGGCAGAGGAATCAAACATGGGTCAACCGGGTTAGAAGCATGCAAGACAAATGCTCTACCCGCTGTTCTATAACTCCAGTCCAAGACTATAATGCACCTGATAAACTGATACTCATCTGAATACTTTGTTCTTTTGTTCCTGGATTGTTAAAGTATCATATTTTGTATACATTTCTATCAGTTCACATAGCTTTTTTTTTATTTGGTTTATCCTCTGTGATGCTCAGGGCTTACTTCTGACTCTGCAGTCTTCTGGTGGTTCTGGGGGTTCCAAATGGGTGCCAAGGATAAATCCAGGTAGAACACATACAAGGCAAGCACCATAACCACATTAATATCTCTGTTGTCTAATTCACATGATTTTCAGGGGCATCATAAACAACAGATGAAGTCACAGGCATTGAAGTTAGAATCACCAATATAAGTACAGGACCTTCCAAATTTTTCAGTCTCAAAGAATCTTGTTAAGTTTCTTTTAACTTTAGTTTTTTCACATTTAAATGGGAATAGTATAAAGTTAATTTAAAGAACGAAGAGATAATACGTTGGAACATATATCGTTGGATGGAGAAATAGTACAGCGGGTAGAGCACTTGCCTTGCACCTGACCAACTAGGGTTTGATCTTCAGCTTCACATATGATCCCTCATGCCCCATTTGGATTGATCCATAAACACAGAGTCAATAGTAAACCCTAAGCACCATGGTGTGGACCTTACTTTCCCACAAAAATAAACAAAAAGAAAATATAGCACAGTAACACACATAAGAACAACTACAATACATGCTAGACATTTTATTATTTTTATTATTTTATTTCTATTAACCCGTATGATCCTCATGAATAAAATTAGCTGAATTTTTATACAGTGCTTATAATATGCTTAGTTCAGATTAAGTACTAATTTGTTTTTAGTTGATTTATTCATAGTAGTAGTAACAATAATTATAACAGTAATTATGACAACAACTAGAATTATTAAGTAATAACTTATTGCCAAGTATGTTTTACATGCATTTAATCAACCAATCAATAAATTGAGAAAATAGGCTATTCCTTGGGGTAATTAACTTGCAATTGTGTTTTGTGAAATGTTAACATTTTTAAAATAAGATTTTATTTAGCATAGGAACGAAATTGACTTCTGGTTGAAAAGACCTCCAAGCAGCACTTTTTTACTGTATAAATTGCAACATTCTAGAATTAGATCTGTCTTAGTCTCTGTAATCTAAATTGTGAGATATCGAGCACAGTTAATTATCGGTAAACTACTGAGCTTTCTACACTGCTTTCCAGTGACCCACCTTTGTACTGTGTATGTTTTCTGATATAAAATTCGGTCAGCTACTACCATATTTGAAATTGGATGTCATGTTACCTAATGTCCAAACTTAAAACCTTAGTTTTAAACTCTAATATCTTTCCTTTTTAAAAAATCTAAAGCATTTGAGCAAATGTATCTGTCAACTAAGAAGATTAAATTAACATGGAAATAAAAATAACATAAAACACTATTCAGCTCCAATTAGAATATATCCAAAAATTTTCTTTAAAAAATAAATCTCTGTACTTCCCTGGTAGGGAATATATCATAACCATGAAGGTGACTTCCCAGGGTGAGGCTAGTACATTGCACTCTGGATGTGCTGACCCTTGTGATTTACCCAAATGTGGGAAACTCAAAGGGCATAATTTGTAGTGGGAAACTGCACTTGCACTTATAAGTAAACAAATCAATTAGTAAATAAATTTCTAGGAGCTTGGAGAGTCAGTATAGAAGTTAGGACTCTTACCTTGCCTGCAGTCAACCTTGTTTGATTTCAGTCACCCCGTTTAGTCCCGGAGCCCTGCCAGAAGTGATCCCTGAATGCAGAGTCAGGAGAAATCTGTAAGTACTACACAGCATAGCTCCCAGATCTTAAATAAATAAACAATAAATAAACAAGTAAATTTTGGGTTCATGTTAAGTTTTTTTTTTCTTACATTAAGTCATGAATTGCTCTCTCCCTGTAAGAACATAACACATGGACAAAATTTACTCATAATCAGACACAAGCTTTCTTGGAGTTGTTGTATTCTGCTCATCAAAAAGTTGTATCATCTGTTTTCTGGATATAAATAATATCAAAACTTTATTTTTTCTGATGCTAAAATTGGTTTTGACAAAATATCATCCTCACTGACAAATGGTTAGTGAGAAAAGTCTAAAATATTTTAATATAAATTTATTTTTATTCACCATAAAGTTCAAAATTATTCATGACTAGATTTTAGGCATATAATTTATGACACTCATCCCTTCACCAGTGTACACTTCCCTCCACCAATGCACCCCCCCCTACTTCCCCATACTTGCCTCCCTCCCACTTGTCTGCTTCTATGAGAGAATTTAAAAAAAATACATAAGTTTTTCATTGTAGTTCAATAAGAAAATGTTGACATTCAAGAAAACAGGATTTGGCTTCATTCTAAGTAGGAGCAATTCTATTTCAGCACTGTAGTACTGGAGCACTTTTCTCCTGTTGTTCATTGACTTACTCGAGGGGGCACCAGTAAGGTCTCCATTGTGAGACTTGTTGTTACTATTTTGGGCATATCAAATACGCCATGGGGAGCATGCTAGGCTCTGCCCTGCAGCCAGGATATTCTCGGTAGCTTGCCGTACTCTCCCTACGTGCTGTCACTCTAGCCCTCAACTTCAACATCAGTTGGTAATCTTAAGTTAATCATAAGTCTACAAAAACAGGGCTTTATGTGATATCAGGAGATAGCAATACTAATTTGACTTCATTGTATTAGGGTTAAATACTATAGAATCAGACTATCATGTTTAATGCATAGGTAAATTGGCAGAATAAACTGTCATTATTAGAATAAAGTCTTTCCAGTTAAAAAGAGAAACCAAGAATGGAGTCTATTGGAACTGGGATCATACCCTACTGTGGATGTGTGTGTGTCTGTGTGTCTGTGTGTTTGTGTGTCTGTGTCTGTGTGTCTGTATCTGTACGTGTGTGCACATGTATGTTTCCAGAATACATTGTCTTGTTTAACTTTCAACTCATTATATTTTTGTGGTTCATCCATTAGTGAATGAAATAGAAAAGCTAGTTACATTTACTCAATAATGCAGAAATAATAAATGACTCTAGTCTAATCCATGAACAGGCTATATGTTTCCATCTCTTTGTGTCCTCTTTTATTTCTTTGAGTAGTTGTTTACAATCTTTGTCGAAGTCTTTCACCTCTTTTGTTAAGTTTATTCCCAGGTAATTGATTTTCTGAGGAGCAATTGTGAATGGGATTGATTTTCCTTTTAATTTCCTCTATAGAACTTCTTTATTTGCATATAGAAATGTCTTAGATTTTGACACATTGATTTTGTAATTTGCCACTTTACAAGTGTATTGTTTCTAGGAACTTTATTTTTGTAGTCTTAGGGTTTTCTAGATATCCTATCATACTCTCTGCAAATGGTAAGAGATTGACTTCAGTTTGTTTAATATTTCTTTTTGGGACTTGCAATACTATATTGAATAGTAGTAGTAAGAATAGACAACCTTGTTTTGTGCCTGATCTTAAGGGGAAAACTCTGAATTTATAATCATTGAGATTGTTTGCTGTGGTCTTGTGGTAAATGGCTTTAAGTATGTGGAGGAAAGTACCTTCAATGCTAATTTTAAGAGGACTTTTCAAAATTATGAATGCGTTGTAAAGACTAATATGATCAAAGAAAAATCTTTCCCAAAGTATCATATGAATTCACTTCAGTATCTATAAAAATACTCATTCGTTAAAGACATAGGTAAACTGCTTCTAAGTTTTATATGAAGTAATCAACCCCAAATAGACTAAGCAAACTCCACAATAAAGCTATAGTGATCAAATATTGGCTGCTGGAATAAGAACAAAAGAATGAAATAAAATTGAGAAGTCAGAGACAGTTCCTCAAGGTTATGGGCAATTCATCTTCAACAAATGAGGAAAAAGTATAAAGTGGAGCAAAGAAAACCTCTTCAACAAAAGGTTTAATCAAAATGGCTGGTAACATGCATTAAAAAGTATTTAATCCTTTTCTAGCACAATACACAAAAGTCAAATTAAAGTAGACTAAATATCTGTAAATCAGGCCTCGATGCCTCAATGATATTGAGGACAACTTTGCTAGAACAATTCATGATATTGAATCTAGAGTTATCTTTAATGATGTATTACAGAACAAGAAAACAGAAGCATAATAAACAAATGATGTTATAGTCACCTATGAAGCTACTGCAAAAGAAATATTGATCAGAATAAAAAGTCATCCAAAAGTCTGGGAATATTTTCCCACAATTATAAAGTTTACATACAAGATATATAAACCATTGATTAATTTCAAAAGAAAAATATCCCAAAACTGGGCAAACACTTGAACAGAAACTTCCTCAAAGAAGATATAAAGGTGACCAAAAATGTATAAGAAAAATGAGCTGCATCACTTATCAACAAGAAAATGCAAATTAAAATAACAATGAGATATCTCACAACTGTGAGGCTGGCACACATAACAATGAACAAAAATACGGGTGTTAGGATGGGTGTGGGAGGTGAAAGGGACCTCACTCACTGTTGGTGGAAATTCCAACTGGCCCAGCCTTGTTGGAAAATAATATAAACACTTCTCAAAAAAAAACCCAACGGAGCTAGCTTTCATATGATCCAGCAATTACACTTCTTAGCATCTACCTCAACAGCACCAAAACTATCCAGAAAAATATATTTGCACTTCTATGTTCATTGCAGCACTTACAATGTCAAAAATCTTGAAACAACACAAATGTCTAAGCCCGGATGATTGGATAAAGAAACTGTGGTACATATACATAATGAATACTTCTCCACTAAGTGAGAAGTTGAAATTGCGTAATTTGCTGCTATGTAGATGGATCCATTGCACTTACTGAGTGAAGTTAGTCAAAAGGGAAGAAACAGATACAGAATGATCTCTCACCCATGCAGGATATAAATAATCATAGGACAGGTATAGCAAATGCCAAAATGCAATAAAAACTGAGAAACTAATCTTTAGTAGGAAGCTTACCAAGGCTTATAAGGAGATTTGTGGAAACAGTGGTGGAGGGAACAAGACAGTCTGTTTGACAGCATAGTGTTGGGGTGTTTAATACATGAAACTTGACCATTAACAGTATTATAAATCACTGTGCCAAAATTGTTTTAAAAGCCATAAAACATACACATATGAATACCTAATGGACAAACAATAAGAAAAATAAATAAGTCTTCACCACTGTGTTAAGAAGAAACTAATTGCAATGCCTTCTTGAATTAATAAGTCTACACTTAAGCAAATCAACCATATAAAACTTAGAATTGAAAATTCATCTTTAGTGATAAGAAGGTAGACAGAGAAATAGAATGATAGACAGATTACACTGCTTATCATCATGATAGTAATCATGAAGGTAATCATAATGGAGTGTTCATTAACTTAGATGATATACTTTTCGTTTTACAGACTATATAAACTTTATTTAGTCTTCATAATCAACTTTAAAATAAAATGTGATATTAATTCATAGTCTATGGAATAAAATTTTAAATTAAAGAAAAGTGAAATAATTTTCTAAATTTCTAGTTTCACAGAATTCCTAGGTATCAAGAAAGATATAGCAGTGATAAAGTAACATAAAATGTAGAGCCCTAAATCCAATAGCTTTGACTCTGGGGAAGAAAATAATGCCCACAAGTCTCACGAATTTCTGCAGTTTTCCCTTCAAAGTAGTATAAATCTTCCCAGTGAATCTTCCAAAGACAAACCATTCAAAACCAAATCTAAGAGAAGTATGTTCTAGGAATCCAAGTGCCTAAGGCTATGATGACAAAACCTGACTCATTCTGATTTTTTTTCTTGGTGATATCTAACATTTAATATACAATGCAACTCTAATTTTAAATTCAGGGATACCTGTAGTGAAAAAAATTCTGTTTGAGTTCATCTAAACTTAAAGTTTACGTAAAACCTTGTCATCATAGAACAATGAGTTAAACACCTGCCCAACTATCTTCTTCTATTTTTTATGTACTCTTTTGATACCTCTGCAACAAAAAACTTCATGCAGTTTTTGAAAGAATTTGTAAGATCTCTAGTTGATATGTGATCATTTCTCAGAGCAAAACATAGAACACATGTTATCAAGTAACAATATTCCTCAGTTTACTAATTCCTCCAACAAGTGATTCCAAAATAATATGCAAATTACTTTTCCAATTAATCTTCCTTGCTGCTGCTACTGTTCCCATTAAGAGGCATGTTAGAAGTTAACTTTATCTCACTACCAAAATTATAGCAGCCAAATATTAATAGATATTGCCGGTCAATATAATATCTGGCACAAATGTTGCTATATAATGAATCTGAGGAAAAGAGGTAACATCTTTTTTTTGCATGTTGCAGCATTGGCAATCAGATTTGATGGAAAAATGAGTTGTTTTCCCTGGGACTGGAAGCAGCAGAATTCAAGTATTCATATATCAATAAATACTTAATAAGAAGTATTGTATCTATCATTAAATAATCATAATAATTATTCTTCATTGAGACTGGAGTACCTTGTGTACTACAGTTGAGTAAATCACTGCACTTGACGGTTTTCTGTTTTACTCCAAAAAAGCTGTGCCTATAAATAATGCAAACTGTTGGTTGTCACACAGCTCATATCATTAGT